TGTCTTCACCACCATTGCGTCACTGCAGTTAGATTCCTTCAGTGTTCATGGTTCAGGAGGTTCTACCGGGAAGCCAGTTTCCACAGAGGTCCCTCCTCTCCAAAAACAAAACACCGCTGATAAAACCACAACACACTGAATAAAGCAGTTCCACCTTAACAATCACTGCTCTCCCACGCTGTTGTAGGGTGTTTTTGTTGGCTTCATTTGCAGCTTTGCACTCACCCAGATCTCCAGCTTGCCGTTCTCCTTCTTGCACTGTGTAGCCAGGCAAGCCAGAAGCCACCGTGGCCTCGGATTCACCTGCCGTCCGCCTTCACCACCACGGCAGAGCGCCACGTGGAACGTGGCGCAAATGTGTCTTCCACGGCGGTACATGGTGGCTTCTTCTGCTTTACACTGCCCTTCCTAGAAAACCAAAAAAAAACATATTCCATTAGCCACTTAATCCGACCTTTTAAATAAATGAAATCTGCACTGGAAGTTCCTGTGCATCAGCAAAGGAAAATGAACCAAATTCAATCCTGGACTATAGTCTCTTTATTGTCAACACAAATCCCATTAAAAAACCAAAACCAACAATGAATTGAAAGCCTGATGGATATATCCTCCAGACAAGAAGAGCTAATGCACCGAAACAATCATCCCATTCACAGACATTCTCCTGGAAAAAAATCTGATTTAATTCTTAATAGAACAAAAGTAAGAATGAACAAGACGCGAAACAATTCTCTGTTGTGGATCGACCTCCCCCTTCAGCCCCTGAGCTACAGGAAGCCCTACAGAGTCAGATGACATTCAAAGACACATACACATACACAGTCCCTGCGCCTAAAATACTCCCATCAAAGGTTCCCAACCTGAGGTTAGGGTCACATATCCAAAACATTCCCAGCAGTTATTGATTCACGTTTGTGTTCATTGTTCTGCTTATTGTGAATATATTAGAATATTCATTAATGTTCACTGAGTCAGGTCTCATTATCAAACGATAAAAAGAAAGGTCCGGAAACATTACACTAGAGCACCAAATGCATTAATTCGCCCATAAATACCTTTTTTCTATTGATAACGTTCTACAACAACAATGTAATTGACTTATTATGTTTTTAGCGTTAAATAAATAAAGATATAGATATTACAATGTTTAAAGCGTTTACATCAGAATGAAGAAAAGGTCACAGACGCGTGGTAACAAACTTTTTACGTATTTCTGCATTAACAAGTATAGAAATCATCGCCCACACTGAAGTTTGATTATTAACATCCGGAAGATGGAGAAGATTTCCTGCCGTTGATGAGAAAAACTCCCATGATCCCACGCTGCAGAGGCTCAAACTGGCTGGAGAGTGGATGCTGATCCACGTCAGCAAACTTGGTCTTTAGTTACTGTTTGGATGTGAGAGACCCCCTGGTGGCAGAAACAGTTTCCAGCAGGCTGACTGTGAGATGGAGGTGTTGGAGTGTTTTTGAGCTTATTTAGAAATAAAAACAGATTATTTCTTGTGCATCAGAGTTTTTCCCTGGAAAATGTGGCTGAGTGACGCCAGCGTTCACAGTGCCAGTCTGTCACTGTCCATCATCCACATCCTTCCTTATTTCAAACTCAAGGTTATTCTCATGAATTTCTGTTCAGTTTCTCTTTTCTGTCTGTTTCTTTCAGCTGGAGCTGAAGCCACAGGGCCGCCTGCGGATGGAGGCCAGATATTATCTGGAGAAAAGTGGTGAGTGGTTCAAACCTGCCGCCCCCCTTCCGTCAGCTATAACAACTACAGCAACCTGTCAAACTGAGAGTGGAAATAAGAAGTCAGAAGGTTGTAAAGTTTAATATTAAGGCTCTTTCAGAACAATGATTTCCTGTCCAACCAGAGAATATTTTCAACAAAAGTCTGATTCAAGCTGTCAATTTAAGATATAAAGTCTGTTGAATCACTATTATAGAAAATCATGGTAGAGAACAGCGAACAGTAGTTTGTACACTTTTAATCTCCACATTTTATTCTTTTAAAACTAAATAATAACAAAAATAAAAATGGTCAACAAATCCACGTCTCTTATGTCAAGATCACTATAAGTCTTAAAAGTAATAAACAGCGCACTCATTGCCTTCAGGGCCACATTTGCTATTTTTAATAAGATAAATATTCTTGTGAGAAAGAATTATTAGAGCAACAAACCATTGTTTGTACTCACAGTAGCTCTAATCTCATATTTTACTTTTTTAAAGGCTTCCATGTGACAGTTGTGGGATTTCTGAGGGAATATTTGAACATTTTTAGGGTTGAAACGGTCAAACATTATATGAATATAGTGAAAAATACATCAGTCAAATGTTAAATATTTATACAGTCAAACACTGTATATTTAGTGTCTTTAGTGTTTAGCGTCATAAAATGAAAGCTTGCATCACTCACATCCTCGTCTGTTCTAATGAACCTTAATTGCCCCAGCCTAATTACATTTTCCTGAGCTAAAATTACATGTGCTGGTTGCTTTCACCGGTGCTTTCCTGACATTTACACGATGCCCAAAAAAAGAAGCCATCTCATGTTCCTATATATAGAGTCAGCAAATAGGAAACCAGTGCTCAGAACAACAGGTGGCATAGAGACTGCTCTGACAACCTGATCCTAATCCGATGTGTAACTTCCTCCTGCAAACATTTAGCAAACTAAATACTGTACATGTGCAACAACACTGTGGTCTAACTGACCGATTATTCATTAGAAATTACACATTGTCAGAAGGAATAGTTCAGCATTTGGGGGAAATGTGCTTGTTTGCTTAATTTCCCAGAATGAGATGAGATGAACTGCTGTGCTGGAGCGGGCTCTGGTCGATCAATAGTTGGTAATTGTGACTCTCACAGCATGATTTGTGCTGTGAGTCCACAAACCAAAGTCACAAATTGTCCTTTTTCCATCTCTGTTCTTAGGTTTAACAAATAATTTAAACTGTGTAAATAAGGCCGGTGATGGTTGGAGTATTTCTGAACTATTGACAGAGTCAGGCTAGTCTGTGGCGCGTTTGCCCTTGTTGGCCACCGTACTTAGCTTTTATGCTAAGCTAGGCTAACTCCAACTTCAGGGCTTCATTTGTAAAATGGACTGAGGATCAGTTTTGATCTTAAAGGTCCAGTGTGTAACATTTAGGAGGATTTATCATCAGAAATGTAATATAATATTCATAGGTATGTTTTCATTAGTGTTCAATCACCTGAAAATAAGAATCGTTGTGTTTTTGTTTTCTTAGACTGAGAGTTTTTATCTACAGACCCTCTTCTGGGGTCCACCATGTTGAACCGCCATGTTTCTACGGTAGCCCAGAACACTTGCTCTCAATAGGGCCCTTTCAGGTTTTTTGCAGCCACTTTAGTTTCTCCGACACACTTCACAGCCTGTTCTCATTCCCAGGTCGTCAAATACAGACGCGAGCCGTGTTCAGTTAGTTGCAATCTGCAACTTCATCAGATGCCACTAAATCCTCCACACTGCTCCTTTAAGTATGACTTACACAGAAAACCACATATTAGTAGTTATTTATTACTTTGAGGTGGAAATCTCTGAGAAAGAGTCTAGATAAGTGATTCTCCTGCTGGTTATGTCGGGTACTGCAGCCTCTGGTGAACTTTGCATTAGCTTCATGAACAGTTTGATTTAAAGTTAAAAGTGGGGCTGCAAGATTATGGCAGTAAAGTTTAAATTTAATT